TAATTTAAAAGACTTTATGATAATTAACTTATTTATATATTCAATATAATGAATTGTGCGTAGAAAGATAGAATGAATATTCTTTATTATTAAAAATATTTGTAATTATCTAAATAGCATATATCGCATCAAGGATGAGTTTATTATAATTATATAGTTTTAACTTAACTAGTTAGTTTCTAGAATTATTTTTAAAAAATTACTGGTTCAAATCTCATAACTTTCTAGGTCATTAAAGATTTATATTATTATTAATTTAGGACCCGTAGAATTAATTAAGGTGTACGTAAACTGACTCAAACCCCATATTAATAAAAAAATAAGTTTATTATGAAATGTTATTAAAATATAAAATAATAAATAATTATTAAAAAATGCCTTTCACTACTATTGTATTGTATTACTGTTATTATTTTCCTTTTTTTTTTTCTTTTTGAACAATTGACTAAGCATACTCAAGTTAATTTATTTTTATTTTGTCATGGATATATTATGTATCTAATAATTATGCTCGAAGATTTATAGGATAAAAAATTATTGACCACTTATCCAACGCCTTCATTTTTTGAATTCTACCCTTTGTTTGATGTCCATCATCTTCCTGTATAAAATGCATATTTTTCTATTATTATTGTTATTGTTGTTGTTCATGTATGAAAAAAATATAAAAAATCATTATTTAAATCTATAATATTATAATGCATTTGATTCAAATCCGGAATTCAGATCTTATTTTAATAATTTCTTAAAACAAAACCCCATTTTAATTGATATCTTTCTTTGTTTTTTAGCAAGAAATGGCTCTCCAAAAAGAAACAAGCAAGGGGAGGATATTTTACCCAGTTTACTAGATTAACCAGTCCCTTACCACAAGATTTTTTTAGAACAGTTTACCCATTAAAACTTAGCAAGAGTAGAGGAAGGAACCCTGTTAATATTTCTCAGGAAAGGAGGTTCATTATGCAAGTTGATCAAATAATTTGTTTTCATAACTGTACCAAATCCAAATTAATATGGTCGTGTATAATCCATTTAGGAAAAATTAGGAATTGAATTAATCTCAAACTAATTGACTTTTGCATCGCTACATGTAAAATTAAAAAATAATCTTTAATTAAAGATTAAATAGGAAAGTTTAGAAATATATATAAATTAAAATATTTAATTCTGTATTATAAAAAAATATTTTTTTATTTAACTATATATCAATAAAAAAAGTTTTGTAAGAAAAGTTATAATTTAAATTCCATTGAAATAAAATAACTTGCTGCTGAAATTCATTCTTTTATTATTAATCTATTTTACTCTAAAAACAATTAGTTTTCCTATGTTATGTGATTTATTTGATAAAAAATTGGAAGCATTTAGAATAAATATATAAAAAACGATGCAATCAATTTAAAATTATCTCTCTATTCAAAACCCTTTTTATCTTTTTAATGCACTTCCCTCTTAGATTTTTTTTACGTGGTTATTTATTTTTAAAACAAAAAAATAATTAATATTATAAAATTAAGTTTTAATAAAAAATATTTTAATAATATTTACATGAATATATTAAAAAATATAAAAAATAATATATTGCTCATGGAAATGAAAAGTGGTAGGGAAATTTTTAAAATTTATTTTTTATTTAATTATATTATAATAAAAATAAACATGCTGAGAAAAGCCAGCTGATAATATTAAAAAAATCATGAAGAGGTACACAAAATAGTATTCACTAATATTATAAAAAATGCTATAATTTTATTCCAAGGCAAGATAAAAATAGAATGGTATTTAATAAAATAATATCCTAATTATATTTTAATTTATTTATTTTAATAACACTTAATTAAAATAAAAGAAATTAAAAAAAAAACATAAAGGCTTTCTTTAAAAAAAAAAATCAAGTGTTCGTGTATGGTCTCTAACAAGGGAGGACAAGGCAGTGAACCGCGTGTTATGACCTTTATTTTTATTTTTTTTGAATGGGCGTTGTTCGCCCCTTTTATATATATATATATATATATGAAAGTAGATTACTCATTGTCTACTAGTTGGCTTTTTTGAGGATCTAAGATGGCTAGAAAGATGTTTCTCGGCCTCTTGTATGTAAAAAAATTTATTTTCAACTTTTTTTTCACTTAAATATATTAAAGTAACACCTTATAAATTTCAACAAATTTATATATAATTGCCCATCAATTTTTAATCAGTCAAAAATAAAAAAAAATCTTCTCAAATAAAAAAATAATTCTTGAACCCTAATCTTTTTTTTTAAGGATAAAAGATAAAAACATCTAAATAAAAATTATTTTCATCAAATAAAGCTTATTAATTATAGCAAACTAACAACTTTTTTTTCTCTTTCTCTTCGTAGACCATTGTTTTTCTGTATTTTTTTAAATAAAATATTTCAAAGGTTGAAACATGAATAAAACTCAAGATAGGTAACCAACAACCTTTTACTCCCCTCCACTTTTTAGATGATTTTTTTTTAAAAAAAAAAATTCAAAGGCACAAACATGAATAAAATAAAATTTTAAACCAAAACATTATTATAAATTAAAAATACCCCTCCTCACAAAGTACTATTCATTGGAATAGTGCTTTGTATTTTTTTCTTTGATTTTTTTTCAATCAATGTTTTTTTCTAATTTTATCTTTTATTATTAGATTTTTTTTAATCTAGTTATCACCTTAATGACATAAATTTTAAGTTTGGTAGGTTAACGTAATTTGGTGGGTTAGCTTGGTTAACTTAATTTTTTTTAATTTCATTATTTAATATTGATTTGATTGAGAATTAAACATTATAATTTATTTTGTTTACTTTTCATCAAGTTATAATAGCCACATGATCTAAGAATGATGCTTAATGACTTAACTTGGGTTTTTTTTTGTGTCTTTTATTTAATTGATTTTTCTTTTAATTTTTTCATTCAATACTTGATCGATCGAGAACTGAGTTTCATAATTCATTTTGATATATTTTTTATGAGAATATCTTAATCTCATGATTAAGGTCACAAGTTTTAGTATTTTGATCCTAGTTAAATCATGTCGTTTTTATGTTTTCTTTCTAAGAGATTATATCAGTTTCGTGACCTGAGTCATGAGTTATTCAATATTCTCATAAAAATGAATATTAAATCATGTTTTGGTATATTGATCTCATGATCCATTTCACAAGTTTTAGTATTTTGATCCTGGTTATATCATATCATTTTTATATTTGTTTTCTAATAGATTATATCGGTCTTATAACTTGGGTCATGAGTCTATCAATATTGAAGTTGTTTTTTATTGGGTTGTCCTAGTCTAATAACCTGGATCGTGAGTTTGATGAGTTAACACAACTGACTTATTTTTTAATTAGATCTTTTTTTAATTTCATTAGTTAAAATTGTGTTTGATTATGAATTAAACTTCATAATTTATTTTGGTTTGTTTTTTACTAGGTTATCCTGATTTTATAATCCGGAAATAGTGCTTAATAGTTAACTCAAGTTAATTTGACTTATTTTTTTTTATTTTTTAATTAAGATTTTTATAAGTTTCATTATTCAAATTAGGTCCGATATGAGCTATTAATAATCGAGTTTTATAATTTGTTTTAACTTTCTTTTTATAGGCTATCCCAGTCTTAAGATTAAAGTCATAGATTTGACAAATTAACTCATGTTAAATTATTTTATTTTTTTTTATAATATTATTTCAGTTTAATGACCTGAGGCATGCGTTTGATGGATTGACTCAGGTTATTTTTTGTGTTTTTATTAATTTTGTAATCTTATTGTTTGATATTAAGTTGGTTAGGGATTTGAATTAGTCATTTTTTATTTTATTTTTTATGAGGTTATTTCGGTCTTATAATTTAAATTGCTAGTTTGACATGTTAACTCGAGTTATTTTTTTAATTTTTTTTAATTATTTTTTTTTAATTTTATTATTCAATATTTAATTGATCGGGAATTAAATTTCATAATTTATTTTAATTTGGTTTTTTATAAAGTTATCATTGTTTCGTAACCCGGATTACAAATTTAACACGTCAATCCAGATTGTTCTAGATCATTCCAACATATTATTATTTTAATATTATAAAAAAATATGATTTTAAAATTTTATTTAGTCAAATATATTATTATTTTAATATTATAAAAAAAATTATTTTAAAATTTTATTTAGTCAAATATTCTTTTAAACCAGTAAAGTTAACTGAGTTATATTATATAAACTCTCACATAATTTATTTTTTTTCTTTTCCTAGTAAGAAAAAAATATTGATATTTTTATTTGACATTCAAATAACAAATTAACTTGACAAGCAATAATCATCTTTGTAAAAAGACTAAAAGAACAAATAAAAAAGTCTAACTTTGTCGCACAAATTTCAAATAAGTTACGATTTTTTTTTCTTTTTGGTCCTTTTATTTGTATCTTTACAATAAGAATTCAAATCTGTCTATAATCATGTTCGGAAATTTAATCAAAACCTTTTAACTTCCAAGAATATACAAAAAGAAAATATCATAAACAAAAAACAACACCTTCTTAAACAGGGCAATTAGAAGCAGTCTGATAATAAAAAAACAATACTGTAATTCTTAATAGATTATTAGTAATTATAGTTTCCATTATTTTTTTAAATAATGTTTTATATTAAAATATATGTTAATTATATATTTTTATTTTTTAAAAATGATTTTTTATAACAATTCATTAAAATTATTTAAAAACAATAAAAGTATATTATTTTAAAATAAATTAAAAAATAATTTTTTTTAATTTTGTTAAAAATGCAAGATACTCTAAATATAAATATACTTTAAATATAAATATACGAATATAAGCACAGCGCAGCTCGTTACAGTATTTTCCGGGTTATTTTTCCTAATTTTTAATCTAATTTAAATGTAATGAAATTGTAATGCCCGCCTAAGATGAATCCAGAAGGTAAGGAAGTAGGAACTAGCGAGCAAAATGACGTTTTCTTACTTGGAAGGCAAAAATTATTCCTTGGAAGTATCATTACTTGAAGCCTCCAAAATTGAAATTACATTACCAAATCCTAAGATTAACAAAATCACTCAAACCATGATTAACAACATCAAATCCAAAATGTAATTTACATCAAACCCCCCCAAAAAATAAAATCTATTAAAAAACTAACCCAAAAGAGGAGTATTGAGATTGTATTCATGATCATTTTGACCATCTTGATCATCGTCATGATCATCAAATTCATCACCACACTCGTACACAGATCCAACGAGCCGTAGCTGATCTTCTAAGTACCTTTGCAATAACCCAACTTCTTTCCCCTCTTCCTCTTCACAATCACAGTCACAAAACCCCTCTTCACACATGAGCAACCGATCGCCTCCTTCCTCTTTGTTCTTGCCCCGGCCACGGCGGCAGAGGCGGATGCATAGCTTAGAGGCACATAGTAGAGGCAAGGTGACACAGAGGAATGGAAGGAGGATCGGTGAGAAGAGGAGGAGGAAGAAGCAACGGCTCCGCCGGGTTCGGAGCCAGGTGCTGGTGGCTAGCATGACTCGATAAGGTGGGGAACATATGGTGGGGGATTGATTGTGGTAGTGGTGGTGGAGGCGGAAGTCATGGCGGTGAATCGGTGGTGGTGGTGGTGGAGCTTTGGAACTTGGGAGAGGAGAAGGGGTGTAATGTGAGTGGGGATTTTTATACATGGAGGAGGGCATGTGATTGTTGAAAGCGATGGTTTTTTATTTTTTGAAGCAGTTAATCTTCCTAAGGAAGTTGTAAGGACTTCGATATTTTGAAGCCGTTAATCTTCGCAAGGAAGTTACAAGTACTGATGATAATTTAATCTCATCTTATGAATTCAATTGAAATGACTTTACCTGATTTGAAAGTATAATTTTTTTATAGAATAAATAATAAATAGAATATAAATATTATCAAATTTATCAAAATCCAATATTTATCATTTAATATAAATATACATACTTTATACTTTAGTGTGTGTATATATATATATATTTATATATTAACTGTTTTATTTTTTATTGATTAATAAATAATAATAAATAATAGATATTCATGCAATTGCATGCTTAAAACCCCTTAAATAATTGGCATAGTATAAATATTAAGAAATTTAAACCATGAGTGCTCATTATCATCCCTAGTTGTAAGGACTAAAAAGTACTTGTAATTGTTTATTGAACTTTAATTTAAAATTAATTTGAGATTAAACACACTTGTTTATTGAAAAATAATGTTTTTAGAGTAATTTTTATTAAAAAAAATGAACCATTAAAAAGTAAATTATTTTATAATACTTGATAGTACTATAGGAAATAAATAAAAAAATATTTTTTAGTATTTAATTATGTTATGAAAAATAAATTTAAAAATAACTTATTAATGTTTTAATTTTTTTTATGATTATTAAAAGAATGAGCACCAAATTTTAAATTTTTTTTAAGATTATTAAAAGAATGAGCACCAAATTTTACAGATAAAAAGTTAAAAGAGAATGAAATTGAAAACTATTATAATCTCATAAATTATTTTAAATAAAAAAATAATAATTAAAATAATAATAATCAAACCTAACAGATAAAAAATTAAAAAAATATAATTTTATAAATTATTTTAAATAAAATAAATAAAAATAAAAAGAATAACAATCAAATCTAATAGATAAAAAATCTTAATTGAAAAAATAAAAGAAAAATAAATAATAATCAAAAGAATGAGACCCAAAGTTGATATAAAATTCAAATTAAATCAAATTAAAAGGGATAAAATTCAAAAAAATACAAACAAAATATATAGAAAATAAAATATTAAGGACCAAATTTAATAAAATCAACAAATAACAAGATAGTTCTAAATTTTTTACAACTTCTAAAATATGTTTTCCACTCAAAATAAAAGAAATACTTTTCTTAAAACTATGCTAATTTTTTTTTACTAAAAAATATTTTTTGTTGAGTAATTTTTTTAAAAGTAAATAAACACAAAACAAATTGGAAAACAATTTCTAAAAAAAA